TCTGAACTTCACATAAACTTCATCCATTTACTAGAAATCTGATCGGTCATTTATTTCCATCTAATAATTTCATTCATCAGAAACATCATGACCGGTCATTCATTTCCGCTGATATTTGATAAATAAACACGAGGACAAAAGATCTTTTTCTTTAAATTAGGAAAAAAAAGCCCAGTTGATTTTTTAGGAATCTAAATTCGTAAATAACTTTTAATTCACATGAGAGTTCTTCTTTCAAAAAATTTTTTATTAAATTTATTAAATTCACAAACAATTTCCCTTTGCATGTGTAATTTTTTGCTCAACGCAACGAATAGAATAAAAACAAAAATATTGGTTAATAATAATAGAAGTGGCTAGCTAATGTTGATGCTCCGAACGAATAACCGAACGAATAAATAGGTACCCCGCATTTGAATATAACGTGTAAAGTTAAATCATATATAGAATGTCATTGCCTCTCAAATCCAATGTAAAAAGAAAAACTACCGATTTTTTGGTCCACGAGTGGGGTAACAGGTCTATTTATATGTTTTTGTTGTAATTTATTAGATTACTCGGTCAAAGCACCATCTGGTCTATTTTTTATTAAAGATGCATTATTGATCGTGAATACATGATAGGATACTAAGATGTTTCGTATCCAGTGCTAATTTTGATGCTCCGAACGAATATGTGTGTGTGTGATTGAGTCGTGTGATTTAATAATTTTATAATATTATATCATAGAGCTATAATGATTTCACGAAACTTACTGACTAGTCAAAAAGTTTCGTCGTACATCATTACCTGTGTCCTATAGAAAAGAGAAACTTATAAGAAGCAGGACTAATAATACATATAAGAATAGCAATTAGCCAATAACCCAACAGAAAACATTTTCTGAAAGAACCAGTACTTCATCAATTACAGAAATCCAAATGTTCAGTTAATAATCCATTTATCAAGAAGAAATTGATATGCATGTAATTAATATTAATACAAAAATTTATTAATAAATAGTAAATAATGAATTGAACCCCTCAAAAAAAGGAAAAAAAAATTTTTTTCAATAAAATTTACCAAAAAATCTAGCACAAAATAATGATTCAGTCAAATCAACATCAACACAACATAATATATTTTTCATTTGCTCACTGTCTCTAACACCAGACCAATTTTTATTGATATATCTCAATGAAGTATTATTTAAATCTGAATTATTAGTATTCCATCCCAACAACAAAATCACCAATTATTTTTGTCAATCATTTTAATAAGTTTTTTTGTAGTCAAATCTTTTAGTTCCTCATATCTGCTTCTGAGTAAATATCTTTTAAAACATTAAATGATAGCTGATATGTAACACCACATTATGACATGCCTAATAACTAATTCAGTTGGTCAAATAAAAATTAAAGAAACAGAAATTTATGTAATGATTTAATCAGCATTAACTAAAAATTAAAAATTATGACGGATTATTATTATTATTACTTTAAATTCATAATGTTTTTCATAGCCAAAAAAATTAATAGTTTTCGTAAATAGTTATAAAATAGAGTGGAAGCGTAATTAATACGATATTATCAAGATAACCTCAATATCCATGAAGTTTATCTGGAGAAACTTTAATTATATAGTAATTTTTTACCTTGTCAAGTAAAAAATAAATTATATAAATTAACAGTTAATTACAATCTCATCAAGATAACTTTGTTACCCATGAAATTTTATTAGAGGCGGTTTTTGATGTAACTGTTTATTACTCCTCTAGCATCCAAAAAAAAATAATTTTTTTAGATATGTAGGGTGTAAAGCAAAGTTTACTTTCTATTATTGAAACATTTAAATTGAGGTCAATGACTTTTTTAATATACATAGCAATTTTCTGCTCTATTATTAAGCTATTACGATTTTAAGAAAGATTTTGCATGTAGACGTAAATTATTGATTGGAGCATTCACATCTTACCTATTTAAATATTTTATTTAATAATCAAGTGGGTAACATTCCTAAAATAGAACATTTATGAAATGTTTCTTTATCCATGTTTATATAAAATTTTAATCATGTGTCAAATGAAAAACAACTAAAAAGTTTATATGAAATCAAGTTTTTGATTTTAAATATTTACATTTTATTGTTGAATTCTATATAACTTTTATGATAAATTTGGGGGATTTGTTTTTTATATAAAACAAACATTTGTTAAGACAATCTTATTTATACATTTTTCTGTATTAAAATATAACAGCTTTGCAAAATAATTATCACCTACTCGATCAAGATTTTTTTATTAATGATCGCTATGAAGAAAATTGCACTCATTTCCCAAGGTACATCTTCCAGCTTTATAATACCAACATTCAGATCCTTTCCCACTAGTTGGTCTACCAGTTCCTGAACTAGAAGGGCCAATTCGACCTCCTCCCCCTCTATTATTATTATTATTTGCAGTTGTTGTCGTGATGTTTGTTAAATTCGTTGGCGGTCTATTAATGATTTGATTTTGATCATTTACTAAAGGTTGATTTAACAAAGGTAAAGATGCTGACTGTTGTTTATTATTGTTGTTGCCATTAATAATTCCCATAAATTGTGCAGATGGATGAGCGTTACTAGGTACTGGGTATTGATTGGGTTGAATAGCATTATTAGGTAATTGAAATTGTGTAGGCGAAGGAGCATTATTAGGTAATTGAAATTGTGTAGGCGGAGGAGCATTATTAGGTAATTGAAATTGTGTAGGCGAAGGAGCATTATTGGGTAATTGAAATTGTGGGGATGGATAAAGATTTGGTTGAACAGTTGAATTAGGATTATTACCACCAAAATAAGGAAATTGGAATGATGGTTGAGGTGGTTGATTTGGTTGTGAAGCATTTGATATTTGATATGGCGGAAGTTGTACAGGAAGTTGTTGTTGTATTTGAGTTGGAGGTGGAGGAGGAGGTTGTGGTAATTGTAATGGAGGTGGGACAGGGGCTGGTGCAGGAATATTAGGATTTGGATGATGATAATAATAATTTGGCATGATTTGATTATTACTATTACTGTCTATGCTATTATTGACTGTACCAATTCCTGGTATTAATCCTGCGACTCCAATGCCTAAGCCGACATTATTAGAAGCATTTTGATTTGGATCATAAACCCATGAATTAGGATTAGCAAATGGTCTTATAACATTTGGTTGTTGCAGTTGTTGTTGTTGTTGTTGTTGTTGAGCAGGTGCAGTAGCAAATACATGATGATGATGATGATTCACAACATTTTGAATATTATTAGGATGAAGTAATAACCATGCAGAATACGTATCATTTAAAACTTTTTTTAATTCAATTTTTTGTTTTAATTTTTCAATACTTTTTCCCTTTTTATTTAATAGAATTTTTTTTGGAGGGATTAGTAATTGACTATTATTATTATTATTATCATTATCATTATCATCATCATGATTATTATTATTATTATTACCATCATCATCAGATGGTTCGCGTGGATTATCAGGCACTTGATCAACTGTAAGATAAATAACTTCCAAGGTTTGTTTTTCACGACTTTCTTGAATGTTTGCTTCTTGACTATTGGTTTTACTAGACCTTTTTACTATTTTATTATTACATTTGTTATCAACATTATTACTAGAAGAAGAGGGTGACGGTTTTAATAAAAGTGGAGTGTACCATATTGTAGATGGTGCTTTTCTCATTCTCTTGAAAGCAGTTCTTCCTTCACTACGATCCAAATCTTTAACATGGCAAACACCAACAGGTAATGATGACATATCATCTTCCATATCATCAGGATATTTATTTTCAAACAGCTTTACTTGCTCGAGCATGTAATCTGGTGCAAAACTAACACGTTTTCGTTTTTTTGAAGAAGATGATGATGATGATTTAATTTCAGAAAATACTTTAACATCATCATCTTTATTATTATTATTACTATTATTATTAATTGGCGATAACGGTGATGGTGATGATGATGACGACATTACCTTTGTTTCAAATTTTTCAGATTTAAGAGTGGTTTTTGTAGAATCTTTTATTTTAAACACGTTTGATAATTGAGGTTTGAAAATATTTGAAGAAGAAGTAGAAGACAAAGAGGAGTTGCCAATATTTGAAAAATCAAACATATCTTCAAAAATACCTTTTACTACAGGTTGGTTTAATTCTTTTTTCATATCATTAATAATAGTTGACGATGCTGTTGCTGCTATTGTTGTTGTCATTGTCGCTGATTTATCTTTTGGATGATGTTCTTTTGCTTTAGAGTTTTTTATGTGAGAATTACCAGCAGATTCTGACAACTGTCTAGCATCTTGTAACCATCTATTTAATAATTTGGATGCCATATCAGCAACACCAGGTATACTAGATTCTTTTACCAGTTTATTATTAACTACTCTACCCAATCCACAACTTGTTGAAACTTCAAAATCGACAGGCAGATGTTGAACTGTTTTCAATAATCTAAGAAGTAAATTACTGTCGGACAGTTGTTTTGCTTCTTCTTTTATCCAATTTCTTAAAATATAGCTACATCTATCATTTACCAGTTTTTGTAATATAATTGGATCATGTGTTTGAGTTAATATATTAATAACATGACCACGATCAATTCTTGGTACGTCTTTTACTTTACGGAGAAACTCATAAACATAGTCGGCAGATTTTATACTCAAATCACTATTTAAATATTCTTTTATACTTTTAAAAAGTTCGGTTGTCGAGTCGGATACTGTTATTGTTGGCGTTGCATTTTCTGTCGTTGGCATTTCTGATGTTTTTGACGAGGACGTAGTTGTTGCTGTAGTAATCGCGGGTACTTCTGTCGCAGTTTCAGTTATAGTTGTGTTTATTGGTGGTGTCGGAATTTGAATAGACGAAGGATTTATATTATTATTTTTATTATTGTTATCATCGCCGTCGACAGTAACCGTTTGTGAATTTTGGTTTTGGTTTAAAATTTCTGATGTAATTGGTAAAAATGGTGTTTGCATTGTTGTAATTGTTGCCATATCATTTACGTTTGCAATATCATTATTAATCACTAAATTATCATTAGAAACATCAGATATCATGGATATCATATTTTTACTTTCCATGACTGATTGATTAAGAAAAATTTTTTTTAGGAAAAAAAAACATTATTTAATACTTGTAGTACACATCAAGTGTAACATAACACTTTTAATCCCACAAAAAAAGAACAGAATTGGTTATTCGGGATTGAGAACATTAGTATTAGGTCGCGAAGCCATTTTTTCCATTCAAACACCAATCTGTCTTCAACCATATATTAATATTATATATATTATATAAAGTGAATATAATCTGTTTGACCTTTTAATTCCATTATATTATGCAAATGGCCGCAAAAAATTTATTATTATTATACATATATATTATTTGTTAAAATTTTAATAATAATATTCGTTAAAAATATTTACCATTAATGTGATTAAATTAAAGCCATTAAACAACAATTACAATTATTTTGGTTTTATTAATTTCTTACCATCATAACATTTTTTTAATAATATTTGCTTTTTAATAATAATTGATTTATTATTTTTTCGAACACCAAGATTTTTCTCTATTATAAATAACCTTCCCTAATTTGTTTCTGAAAATCGTTTGCGTGACAAATCGTTTGACTGATAACAGATAAGAAATTCAACATTCCTTCATAAGCCAGGTGTCAAATAAAAACATATTGCAGCAAAGGTCGCCTTAACGAAACACTCATAGTTCGAGTAGATCCATGTGATGTAGTATAACAATCAGTGATACTAACTCCAGAAAGCTGTAAAATTTTCCGGTGTAAAGCGCCGCAACGATTTCGGGAGAAGGTACAAGATGACACACTACAAAACTACATTTACCAGCCACTTTAGATGACATAATGTGTGTGGTTTACCAACGAACGAACCCCAGTAATCATGTCTAACAGGAATAACTGAAATTTTGGTCAGGATGATTACACCACGAATTTCATTTAGAACATTTAACACTCGATTCAACACGACCATTAGAATAATCTATCACCAAATGCCTAAAATTATTTATTTATTTATTTATTTAATAAGTATTATCATAAACATACATGCACACACAATATTGTTGGTTATATTTGATCAAAAGAATTTACACCAAAACGATAATCGAGGAAGGAACTACAAAATTTTTGAATCCTATAAGTCTCATAAAATGTCTGGTAACGAATCTTATAATTATTCAATGAAAATAAAATATTGGACGTCTAATAAAGAAATGAGAAATGTATAAGATTATTTTATTGATGAGTGAAAAACTTGAAGAGGAATCGGTACTGTTTAGTCTTGATATAAAATAAAATATTTACGTGATAATTATTTCTTTTAAAGACTGATCTTAAATGGGGATCTATGTATCTCTAAATCACTTGAAATTAGGGCTAATGACAAAAGATCCTGAATTTTCAGTAGTTGAAGTGTTGGAATCATTTCTCTTGATCCAGGAGTGAGATCCAAGCGGTAGGGCTATGGATGGGGAAAACAGAACTATATCATTCATGCTTGCATCAGGATAGCATAATGGACATTTGATTTCATTAGCTAAATTTTGTGACAATCTCCCTTCCAGATATCACGCAAAAATTAAATTTTATTGGCATGAATATTAATATTAATATCGGAGGGAAGGAAATTTAGTTTTCGAATTGATAAAAATAAAATGTTTATAATAAATAAAAAAATCAATATAATATTTCTTTATTGAATGTTTTTAATATACATAGGCTTGGTTTTTTGTTATACAGTCTAATATATTATTTACTTTCAACTTTTCATTGACTTCATCAAATCAACATGTCAATATTCTTGAAATATTCTACCATCTCATTGTATGAATTAGATCCAAGCTCCTTGTTATGTTTAATATTCCAATCTTTTCCAATGTTATTGTGGATTCTCCAATTTTTATATTCTGATGATGTAAAAAATAATAATGTTTCATTATTTTTTCTGCATTTGAATATATAATATTGTATATATATCTGACATTTCCTATAAATACAGAAATAAATAAATTGGTGGCATGAATATGAATGAATATATGAATATTGAAAATAAAAATAAAAATAAATGCAAATATAAATATAAATGTAAATATAATATAAATGTAAAAGAAATATATTTTAAATAAGTTTTTAAATTGTATACATCACTTTATAATTACACCCTGAGTATATCTGTTATTGTTGTTTAAAAATCCTTCTTGTTTTTTAAATGCATCATAAAAAAATCAAGATACAACCCATTATATGGGGCATGCTGCAACAAAGTGAACAAGATTTATGAAACACTTGAAAATACATTACAAGTATATATGTTTCCAAACTAAAATCAGTTGGAAGTTACGAGTTTTCATTAATAAATGATAAATAATAATAAAACTTTTAAGTTTTTTTTAAAATATATATATAGACATCATAATTAATAATGAAATAAATAAATTTATTTATTTATTTATAGGGTCATCCTATATGAAGGCTAGGCAAGAATACGTCTTGGAAGATGGGTATTCAGATCATTCATAACGTCCCTAGATATATGCTTAGGGTTGTTATCTTGCTGAAAGACCCATCAGCCACCTACTAATGCATCAGCATTATCGTAAAGTTGTTCATTTAAAATTTTACGATATAGGTGGCGGTCAAGGTTTTCAGTAAAGATATGAATACTGACCTTCCATTTAAAATTGATTGCACCCCAAACATGAACCTTAAGGTGATGTTTTACCATAGGCTGGACAGGTTTCTTTTCACGAGACCATGCTAGCATCGTATTGCAAAACAATTGGATAGTTGTTTCGTCTGAAAAAACAACTTTCTTCCGGTTGTAATGCACACGATCTTGTGCCCATGACAAGCGGTTAATCTTTGCTTGTTCTGTTAGAAGAGGAACTTGTCTGGAAAGAGTATCAACATAACCGAAGTTGGAAGGCTCGCGGCGAACAGTCCTCTCACTAACTTCGAGATCTTGGTATTTTTCTTCTAAAATAGGTTTCATTTCGGTGACGGTCCTATAGTGGTTACTCTTGACGATCATTCCGAGTTGGCACTGTTTTTCCGGTGATAATTTTCGCGGACAACATGACAGGTGAATTTCCGGAATTCTTCCATTTTTTTTTAATATGGTGACGTATCGTTGACATGTACAGTCTACTTTCTCTATAACGACCCTCTCTATAACGATCACTAAGTAAAATTTCTCTATAAGAAACTTCCCTTTTGTCCCCGTTTCAATTTTTTTATAATTAATTTCTCTCTCTATAACGACTAAAAGCAGAGAAATTACATATAGGGACAGAGGGTTCGTTATAGAGAGTGTGTGAACTGTACGTAACGGGATCCCAGTTCTATTCGAAATTTCTTTCGGGGTACTAATATTTTGCTTCCAGAGAAAGTTCACGGCATTATGGTTTGCTTTAATAGGATTCGAAGACATTTTGCAAAAAAACACTGATGACGATTATTATTTTTTTTATTTACGCGACTCAATCACAAATAACCATTATAAACGAACGTTTTATGGTATTATGCCTGAATAAGTAATTCGAATATTCGCGCCATTACTTTCGCCAAGGACTGTATGTGTAACAAATAAATAATTAATAAATTTATTATTATTATTATTATAACCGTAATAATTAATAATTGAATGAAACAAATAACGTATATTAACCATATTTATGATAATCTAAAAAACAATTTCTAATTGAGTAGCAACATAAAGCAACATTACATGCACTACAATAAATAAAAGAACGACTTTCAGACCTTTTAGACTTTCCTTCTCTTCCCATTCTTCTTCTATAGCTGCTTTTTGTTTTAATCTCACTTTTAACTCTTCTATTAAAAGTTGAGTCTTCCATTATTTTGTCCTCATCATCCTCATCATATTCATCATTGTTTACTTCTGAATCACTAGAACTTTCAATTAATTCATATCATTTAATTTGTTGTAAACTCCACCTAGTCTTCTTGTCATATTAGCAATGTAATAACTAGTTTCATCATCATAATCTTCAAAAATTCGTTCATTATCTTCGGAAATATCCATAGTTTGTTCTTGGGTTTCAATTGGATTCATTTTAGTTCTTTATGAAAATTTGAAATAAAATTGAATAATTTTGTTGACTATTTGACTATTTCAAAAATGATTATTCTCAAAAAATAATTAAAATTATATTTTACTTATCAGAAGGCGCCTAATACTTTTGCAAATTTATAGGAAATTTGGGTCAAGTTTTTTCATTTAAAAAAAGATTTTGTGTTGAATTTTCGGAATTCCGGAGGACAAAATAAAAATAATGTAACAATCTGGTTCTATTTATATTTGGTAATTTGTGGTTATTATGAAAGTATTGGATTGACTTATTTCTTTAAGTATAATGATAATGAGAATATACAGTGCGGATCATCTATACTCAAAAGTTAAAATTTTGAAATATTATGTGATCCACACATTGGATTTTAAAAACCCGCCACCATTCAATTCAGCTTTAAAAAGGGAGTCTATTAATCTAAAAAAAAAATTTGTCACAAATTTTCTTTTCATAAATTTTTTAAATTTGAAAGTTATGCTTGCTCAGAAGTGACAACAATAATTTTCGTGTTGCAATATTTTTGAATCATGATCAAATTTGGTAATGATTTTCTTTTAATGTAAATATGTTCGTTAAACTTTTTTGTTGTAAAGAACTTTTATTTATTAATAAAAAAAGGGAAATAAATAAATCAAATAAATTAAATGTATGTTGTAGAAAATATTCTATGAAAAAAGTTGTTACATGAAATTTGCTTAGTCTCAACATGTGTAAAATTAGATATATCATCAATATGTCAAAAGTTGTCAACATGTATAAAATTTTTGAAAATTTTTGAAAAACAAAAAAATGAATAACCAAATATTTTTCAATCAATTTGCTGCTTCTTCTATTACCACCACTGCTGCCACCACTGTTTCCACTACCACCACTACTGCTGCCACCACTACTCGTACTTGTATTCATACTCATTCTCCTTCTCCTTCTTGTACTCATACTCCTTCTCACACTCATCAGTTAGTCCCAATCCAAGACCAATTGAATGAACATTTGAAGATAATAGTGGCATTAGAAGAACAATTGCAGCAATCACAGCAAAAACAACTACAACAATCAACATTGGAGCATCAAGAACAACAACAACAACTATTATTGTGCCAACAAAACCATTTTTATGTTTTTATTTGTTTTTTCATTATTATAATATTGATGATTTTCTTTTTAATACTCAAATAAAATAATTGACAATCTTAGTTAAAAAAAAAAGTTTACTCTTTAGCAGCTGTGGATTTTTAAGAAGTTTTCATATAAAAATTTTTACATTTTCCGTGTAATGGTTATAATTTATTGTCCTTAAAAATAGGGGGTGAGATGTTAGATATCAAGTAAATTGATAGTTGAGTAGCAGAACCACATTCCAAGACTCTTATTCTTCGATTGAAATCATAATTGTGAAAATCAAAATTCCGATATGTAATGATTCCCTCGAATCAGATTTTTTTAAAAATTTTGCATAGTGAAATCTTACATAGTAAAAAATCATGCAAATTATTAAAGCATACTATTCAAACCTTGTGATCTGAAGCGATAAAATTGTAATTATTTTTTTCTTGAAGAAATCTTAGATAGGATGCGCACTGATGGCTGGTTCATTGCAGTAAGAATTGCTTTTTCAGCCGATGGACCAATAATGTCATTAGTAAATCGCCTGGTTGGTCGGCGGTGCAAGTAATTACGATCTATAAGCGAATTAACTTGTTCAGAGCCAATTCCTTCAATTAAGTCATTTTCTAAATGAGTCCTTGATCCTCTGCCTTCACTATTGCTTCCATAGTCGTGATTAAATGCGATTTTTCCCAAAGTGGTAGATGAGGCTTAACTGGAGATTTCAAGCTCTCAGGATAAAGACCACGTATCAATTTACCATATTCTGATTCAAAAGTCATAATCTGTAAAATATATTTTTTTAAAGTTAACAAAAATGTTCATCTTTTAAAAGAAGATAAATTTAATATATACCTTTAAGCTTTCCTTCGTAAATTTTGTATTCTGCAACATACATATCAATAATATCAATAATGAGCATTCGTGTACCTGTTATTCTGCGAATGTGGTCAAATTTGCCTCTGAGTTCTTTGCATTCTTTTTTAAACAAAGAATACCATATGTGAGCATTCAGTACGTAGAAATAAGATGAGTTCAGTAAATGCCATACCATATTTATGAAGAACACTCATTTCAAAATATTCTTCAGCATCTTCCTTACTCAAATCTCCAACGACATATGGGGTTGCATGCGGGATATGCAAAACAAATGTAGATTAAAGAATGATAGACCTTTACATTTCTACCGAAATAAATATAAAATTGACTTACGATTTACAATCCAGTCAAAAAAGAATGAATCGGAGTAGGTAAGTACAACATGGAAGCGGTTCTCCTGTTTCGTATTCACCACAAGCCAGTTCAGAATTGAATTGAGAAGAACTTTTCCCTTTTTTGAAATCACAAGTTGGCTAAACATGTTTGCTTCGTCAATAATCAAAATGGATGGAGGTATGTTATAACCTTTCCAACAAGTTTATTTCGGAAGGGCATTATCGATATTATCAAGCAACTCTATGACATCATTAGAAGTAACCTCTTTCTCATTAAATGGACCCTCACCAAATGGTTTAAATTTTAACTGTAAATCGTCCGTCACAGCACTGGTTTCCCCTTGTTGAAGCATTTTTGTCAAGAATTTCATATGTCTCTTGAAAAATGTTTAGAATTGCGAAGAAATTGAGTCGTATATTGTTAAAATGTCCTTTACGGCAGTCGATAAAAAGAGGATTGAAATCACCTTTACTCGTTACCTCATGGATCAATGCAGTTTTTCCACTACTAGGGGGACCTAGAACAACATGAAGTTTTGGATCAGGAGCACTAAATGCATTTTTAAACTTAACAAGTTCTTGTTTCCGATTGAAAAAGCTCTTTTGTGTTGTATAACGAGCAACATAGCCATTACTCGGCGTATTTGAAATACAACTACCACCAGTAGGCAAACGTTTGAAGGATTTAGTTAAACTGAAAACAAACATAATAGAAAAGATTTTTACATAATTTGTGCAGGAACAATTATTATTATTATTATTATAACCAAACTACTGGGTTTTTTTTCCTACCAATACTAATTGTGGCAACCATGAATTCGATTTAGTGTAACAAGTAAAACGTTAGTCATAAATTATTTAAAAGCAAAATTTTTTAAAAATATGGAAGTAGATTTACTCGATTTAGAAGAAGATTTGTTAGATCAAGACGATGAAATGATTGATGAAGGAGAAGAGGAAGGGGGAGAAGAAGAAGAAGACGACGATGACGATGATGAAAATGTTGATCAAGAAAAAGAAAAACAAACTGCAGATATGAAAGAGATCAAAGATGTTAGAAAAGTAGCAAAACTACTTGGCTCAAAGATATTAAAAGATATTTTGGCTGTTAGTATATATTATATATGTGTGTTTCGTTTGAATTTAATCGAAATAACATGCATGAATTTTTTAAAAAAAAAAAAAATCATAATGATTTAAATAATAGAGAATAAAACAACTTAGGCATACGAACAGAACTCAAGCACAAATAATTGGTCCTGTGGAAGAAGATCCAGAGTATGAACTTATAGTTCAAGCTAATAATATAACCGTTGATATTGATAATGAAATATTAGTCGTACATAAGGTATAAAAATTTTAATTTTTTTTGGTGGGAAAAATAAATAACATTTAACAATAACAAATAATATTTTTTTGTTATACATAGTTTATAAGAGATCATTATGCAAAAAAATTTCCCGAATTGGAATCATTAGTTCTTAATCCTTATGATTACACTAGAGCAGTTAAAGCTATTGGAAATGAAATGGTTAGTATTTATTAATTTTTATATTAATTAATTAATACGTATGTATATATGCGTTACATTTGTAGGATTATTCTATATCGTTTTTTTTTAAAAAAATAGACAAAAACATTTACCAAACATCAACAACACATCATTGGTCCAATTTGCATTATTTTATAGGATTTGACTAAAATAGATCTGAGATCGATTCTTCCATCTGCTACTGTCATGGTAGTAACTGTTACCGGATCAACAACTAATGGTCAACAATTAACAGAAGAAGAGAATGCAATCGTGAGTGATGCATGTGATATGGTATTGGAATTGGATTCTGCTAAACGAGAGGTTTGTAATTAATTAGATATGCGTTTACTTGTTTATTTGTTTATTTACATTTTTATATTTATTTTGGAATGATGGATTATTTAAAGTTATATAAATTCATAAATAAATAAACGTATTTATATTATTATTTATTGTAAAGATATTAGAATATGTTGATTCTCGTATGACACTTATTGCTCCCAATCTATCAGCGATTGTTGGAAGCACGACTGCAGCCAAAATATTAGGACAAGCTGGTGGATTAACGGCTCTTTGTAAAATGCCGGCTTGTAATGTAATGCTTATTGGTACACAAAAAAAGTTGAACACCGGATTTTCAAATGTGACAGCACCTAGACATACAGGATATTTATACCAATCAGAATTGATTCAGAGAACGCCGACTGATTTAAGAACTAAAGCTCAAAAGATTGTTGCTGCAAAGTAAGAAGTAACTTGCTTGTTCTTGATTATCAAATTGATGATCGTTTAGTTCATTTGGCATTTTAAGAAAGTCTTATTTTTAATATGTGATTTTAGATGTACTTTGGCAGCAAGAATGGACCGAATGCATGAATCATCAGATGGTATGCCTTTAAAAAAAACTCTTTAAATTTTTATTAATTTAATAATAATAATTTTGAATTAAAAAAAAAAGGATCCTTTGGAAGCACATTACGTGAACAGATTGACAAAAAACTTGTAAAATTACAAGAACCTCCACCAACCAAAGCGGTCAAACCTTTACCTGTTCCTGATGAAGGGCCAAAGAAAAGAAGAGCAGGAAAAAAGTATTTACGCTAATAAATAAATGAGTTCATTTGAATTTTTATAATATAATAATAATGACAATAATAATAATAATAATAATAATAATAATAATAATAATTTATAATAGAGTTCGTAGGATGAAGGAGGCATACGTTGTTACTGAGCTTCGTAAATCACAAAATAGAATGGCATTTGGTGTTCCAGAAGATGAAGCGTCATCATTTGATAAAACAAAGGGGTTGGGACTTATTGGACCAAATTCAGGAAAAATCCGGTCGCCAGTTGCAGACCCTCGAGTCAAAGGTATACTCTATTCATTTATAATACAATATTATATTCAAAATATCCTTTATATAAACAATTATTTATTTTATTAATTTATTAATTTAGCAAAAACACCAAGGAAACAACAATATATGGGATCTTCTGGTGCCACATCCGGTCTATCGTCGTCATTGGCTTTCACACCGGTACAGGGAATTGAATTGATCAATCCAGAAGAAACACAAAGGAAAATCAAAGAAGCTAATGATAAATACTTTTCTGGTGGCCAATTCTTAAAAGTTGGAAAAGATAAACAACAACAAAAATGATCATATTATTAGAAATCTATTTAATTCTAAAAAGAAATATACAATAGATGTTTTTAAAATTGCAAAATAAATTAATAAATCTCGTCGAAATTTTGAATTAGTGTCCTAAAAAATTGCATATGGTTGTCGAGACATTTTTACAGAGAAAATCAAAATTATTATAATATATCATTTCGAAGCTAGAATTTTTTCTCTTTACAACGATATTTCCAGTGATTATATTCGAATATGACCGATTCAAATTTAATTTGAATTTAATTCAATAAACCGAATATTAACATCTCGGATAAATATTCGAACTTCGAATTTAGCGTGACAATTATTTAGGTTATAAAATATATATCCTTTTTTTTTCTTTAAAGCGTCAACCTCTTCTTTTTGTCTATCAATCCATACTCGCATAAAGAAGTGGTTTAAGTAATGTGACAAAGAATTTCATATTACACTATTATTAATGTTAAGAGATCATAAAATTTTACGGCCTAGTGATAAACTATTTTTTAAAAAAAGTAATTTCGCCCAATACTATGCTAACATTTTTTATAATAACAAACATATAATAAGTATCTAAATCAATCTAAAAAATAATTTTTGCCAATTAATTTCGGCAATTTCGACCCACCAAGTAAAGTACCATCACTAACATAAACAAAAAGAAGAGGCAATAAACGTATTAATATAGAAATTTCGAAGTTCTTACAAAGAAAGAAAAAGATTATACGTTCCACAATAACTATTTATTATTTATTTATAGTTATAATAATTAGTATTATGTTTTAAGCTGAGGTCCTTTTTCAAAAGACTCTATACTCTAAACTTCTGTATGGTTGTTACTTTATGAGGATGTTGGCTAATAAGTTTTAGAGAAAGGTTCAATCTTCTTCAATTTTATGTAGAACAGCAGAAAAGGTTTACTTTAAACATTCAAAAGAATTTATTTATTATCTAAATCTGTTATTTATAAAATAATCAGCATTATGGAATGAAGTCATGCTCATGTATTGTTAATTATGCATTCATTCAAGACAATAGCTATTTAACATACATTGTGATTTTGTTTTGTTTTACTTGTTTATTTAATATTCAATATAATAATTATAGAGATTCACGTATAATAGTAGAAGAAATTTGAAAAACTCATTCTATTAAAGAAATTGAATAAATAAAAAATAACAGTTGTACGTATATATCATCATTCCGCTGTTTCATAACTGATAACAATGATATCTAGATTATAATTGGAGTTTGATCCGGTTCCCTAAAAAACGGTTTGAATCCAATTTCTGTTGTAATAATAATAATAATAATAAGATCTAAATCGTTTAAAATCTGATTTGAACCGGGTTGACAAAAATAAACTGGATCCAATCCCTATTCATCAGGAAATTTTTTCTGACGCGGATTTACATAATTATTACACTATTTATGTAAGCTTACGGCGAGCCCCATAATAATGTTATGCAATTATTACATTGAGTGTAAATATTACATAATTTTTTATGCAAATATTACAACTTTACAAATTAAAATTTATGGACGTAATATTACGGCGGGGAAAATTCCCTGATGTTACTATTTTGGATTAATAATAATAATCACAAAAAAAATAAGAAAAATTGAAATTTGTCCATTTTTCTAAACAAATGAAACAATTGGGAGTATTCAAAAGGAAAATGGGCTGTGATGGCAATTCAAACCAACACATCGTTTAGTGACCCAACGCAGCTATGGATGAAAGCAAAACGAGAAAGTCTGAAGACCGAAGTAAACAGCTGGACTTTGTTGTTTTTATCATTAACCAATTACAAAAAAAATGCCGTGATAATTGTGGATAGTCAGTCCGCTGTCAATGTATATAAAAACTTGGGTGTGAGATGCCCTAATTAAATCAAAATTAGGTGATGTAACATAATGCCGATCAATAACAAACTTTTTTTTAAAA